TAACTTAATCACATTAGAATAAATATCATTTTGAATTTTGCATAACACCTTACTTTCTTTGCCCGACTAAATTCGCAACATCTGACGGTCTGGACACTCGACAGATCACACAACACACCTACGATGCCTCGCGAATACGTGGTATGCTAATTTTGCTAATTATTTAATTTTATGGTAGTTAATCTGTAGTATACTACCATGTTTTACATTCTAAATTGAAACCTCATATTTTTTGAGCAACTCTTGACTAACTCTTATTATTTATTTTTCATTTATTTTAGGCGATTTTCGACCTAAACCAAAAACTTTGTGATTTTTATTTAAACCGAAAAAAATGAAACACTAATTTCCTATCCATATTTAGGGCCTGGACGTGCGCGGGCTGATTCGCGAGCACTTTGAGCGTGGGCCCCTCGAATGGGACTACCGCCCGGACGTCATCCTCCAGCTCCTCGACCTTGCCGAGGTGTGGCAGTGAGCCGAATTCTGCCTATACTAACGCTCTGTACAATGATCAATTTCTACGGAAAAAGGAAACTTCTTTTTTCTATAAAACTTCGAGGTTCAGGATAATTAGCGAGGGAAGAACCAATTTTCTTTTCCCAGTAATTCCTGGGGCCCTATAAAAAAAATAGAGCATTTTTAAGGCATTTTAGATAGTAGCAAACCCATCAAAACATAAAAATTCCCGAAAATGTTTAGCTTCTTGGTAAAAAATGCATGAAAAATGACCAAACCAGGTCAAAGTTTCGAATTAAAAAAATGTTTAAAATACTTTTTAACTTTCTAGCACTCAAAAACCGGAAAAAAACAGTAAGAAGATAGACTATTTATTATTGACGAGTAGCTGGCGAAAAAAAACAAAAATTAGTTTTCCACCTACGAAAAAGTCCAGTACCGAACTTGTGAAACACACCCATTCATTTTCTACCTCGATCAAACCACATATTTCCGAATTTTCCTGTACCATTAAAAGAACGGAACAGCGCCGATTTTCTAAAAATTCTTGAAACATATATCTTGTGCAGAAATCGCTGTCGCAGCAGCCGAGCCTCCTCGAGCTGTCGTCCCCATTGGTGGTGTGCGGGGATCTGCACGGTCAATACCAGGATCTCCTCCAGATTTTTCAGGTGGCCTAGTTAAAGGGATGCAAAGGTAGTAGGTTGAAGGAAAAAAAGTAGCAGAATGTACTACTCCGTTAAAAGTAGCAGGCAAATTATAACTGGCAATTCAACAAAGCTATACATTAAGAAATTTCATGGTTGCCCGGTACTCAAATTTTGTGAAACATCTTTTTTTTATCAAATCTTTATCTAAAGGCGATAGGATGCGCTAGAATAAAATTTCATTTCCCTCTCGCCGGCTAGACCTCGACAAACCCTGGCGTGTGCCGATTTTTCCATTTGGGATGTCCCGACCTTTTCAAACTTGTTTGAACAATTTGTTTAACCTGACGTTGAACATATAGTGATTCTGAATAAAATTAGCAAAAATTAAAAAGAATCGTAGTACAAATCACCTGGAACATTCTTTTTTTCAGAAAAACGGGCTGCCCTTCAACCAGCGCTACCTGTTCCTCGGCGATTATGTGGATCGGGGCACGCATTCTCTGGAGGTACTGTAGCAATGCGGAGGGATACGGTAATACATCACAGACGGTAATGCTGTTGCTGGCGTGTCGTGTGGAGTACCCGGAGAATGTCTACCTGCTGCGCGGCAACCACGAGATCCCCTCAGTGAACAAGTACCTTTTAATAGATTTTTTAATTACGAGTTTGGCTTTGACATGGATGAAACACATTTATTTGTTAGCATTAAGCCTAGTTTTCCGCATTATTTCGGAAATGCTTAATAGCCTAGAAGTAAGTGTTTTAATAGTGTTTTTAGCAAAACTTCAGTATATTTAAAGCGGAAAACCATTAAAAAAAACTCATAAATATGACATTTTGGTCGGAAAAACGCTTTTTTTTTGTATTTTGGAATTTATTATTTTATTTTGTACAGGGAAAGAATCTGGTTACAGGAAGAAAATCAATATGAGCCAAAACCGAATTAGTAAGATGTTTTACAAAATAAAACCATTAAGCGCAGCACTCGACGCATTAAATCTGCTAGAATTTTTCGGAAATTTCCCTTCGTTAAAACATGTTTTCAGAGTCAAAACGTTGACGCATTTTCGTTGCAGCTTAATTCTATTGAAAATCTTATTTTGTTACAGAACCTACGGATTCCTGGGCGAAATCCGGATGCGCTACCACCACGCGCGCAAATGGGACGTTGTCTACAGGCGTTTCTGCGAGGTCTTTGCCCACTTGCCGGTAAGCGGGTTGAAAAATAATGTGTTTTACGAAAAATAGGTAATAAAAATTTGCTGACGCTGCATTCGTAACATGCTAGTGCTTGTTTTATTAGGTGGCGGCGACGATCAACTCGCAAGTGCTGTGCGTTCACGGCGGCCTGGCCCCGTCGCTCAAATCGATCGACGATTTTCGCAGCATCAAAAAGTAGGATTTACGGATTAGCAAAAAAATAAAACTACAAATCGAAGAGGATCTTGAAAACCCAATAACCAGCTACAAAATCGCGGCTTTCTGAATTTAAAGGAAACATTTATTTTTACGAAAAAGCCAAAAGTTATCCTATTTAATTGTTAAACTTATCCTGTTTTGTTTTACCATATTTTTCTCAGACCGCAGTATGAGCCGGCCGACGAGGGCCTCCTGGAGAATATTCTGTGGGCCGACCCGTCGCCCGAATGCGCCCTCTTCAGCGCCAACAGTGAGCGGTACGGCGGTTTTTGCACGTTTTGAAGTACCAAAAACCTTCACTAATTTTATACATAGAATATTACTGCTAACCGGCATAACCGAAATCTGGGTTTTCGGGTGTGAAAAAAACAGGTTTCAAAAAATCAATGATTTCAAAAAAAATTATATGGTTAATTCCGTCGAAACAAAAATTCGAAAAATACGAGAGATTTTTCGAATTTTTTTATTTCCAGTAAAACCACGTTTAAAACGTAGTTATATAAATTCTACAACTTATATAAATACCGTAATTGTACTACGAATTATACGGCTCAATCCAGCGGCTGCTCGTTCACCTACGGCAACCAGGCGATCGACGAGAAGTTCCGCGAGCTCGGCATCAGCCTCCTCGTCCGAGCCCACCAGGTAGTTGTCATTTTTTAGCCCCCAAACTCTTAGTGTCGTAATAGTAAGTATTTTAATAGCCGTGTAACAAAATTTACCTATACAAAAGTCGAAAATCATCTAACAGGATTGTTATGATTTTAAATATTTGCAATTTTAGTCCAAAAATCTATATTTTTGCCTTTTTTGGATAAAAATTGTAAAATATTAAATCTGGATAATGGAATGGCGATGAAAGACTTGCCCCCCCCCCCCCCGATAATGCCAAAGTAATTGTTAAGCCATTTTTGAATGCTCCGAAAAATATCGGTGTGTTTTAACCCAAAATTGTGAAAAAAATTAAGATAGTCCAAAGCTCTCCGGCAACTAAAGTTTTTGAAACTTATTTTCAAAAATTTTATATGCTCTACGATTTTTGCTCATCATACCTATATATTTCATCAAGTATTCATATCTAATTGACACTGATTTCTTCATGGTTTAATCCATTTTCACGATTTTTAAAGATGTCCCGATTTCAGGTGGTGGACCACGGGTTCGAATTCTTTGCGAATCGGCGCGTGGTGACGCTGTTCTCGGCGCCCGGCTACCACGACTACTACGAGAATCTCGGTGCCGTCATGAAGGTATATTAGCGCTTCTAAAAATGTAATTGAACAGGTTTCCTGACATTCCGGAAGTCCATATCGTATTTTTCACCTGAAATCTTGAAACACTGAATTTTCCCTGTATTCCACTCTGTCAATTGGGTACTACGAATACACCTATTTACGAAATCGGCGCACACATAGGCTTATTTTCAATCTATCGATTCTTCGATTTTTTCGATTTTTCGAAAAATCATTGGAAATCAAAATGAAATTTTAACAAAATGATACTTCAACAAAACGAGATTTCGCCGAAATGTAATTTACGATAAAGAAGGGATTGCGAAGCAACAAGGGAATATCTCGTCAAAAAAGGCGTCAGATTAGAGTATCGTTAAAACACTGGATTTTTTAAAGCATTTCATAGGGCCCATTTAAATAGGGTGCTTCGGCCCTAGCGGGGGTGGGGTCAGGTCTATCTGAAGAATTGCGCAACTGCAAAAATTCGTGAAAAATTCTATTTTTTGCAACCACATACCGTCACCGACTATTAATATGAAAGCCCATTCATTGCCGAAATGTTTTGAAACATAATTTTCATCGCAATTTTGCGAATTTCAGTTTGCTCGCGACGGGACGTACACGTTCGACCAGTTCGACTCGGCCCCACCCGTCGGCAACGCCACCTTCGCCAAGATACCGTACACCGAATAGGGCCACGACGATGCATCGCTTAATCCATGCCAATCGATAATTAATGAAATGTGATGTGCATACCGTTTTACAAGAGATCGCTTTTGATGTCCCCCAGAGAGTTGCGAATAAATGTTTCGGATTTTGGCCTTCAGAATTTTTGGTAATTTTATCTAGTCGATCTTTATGGAAGACTTTATCATCGTATATATTAATTCTTTTTAATTGTGTTAAATTTGGATACATTATATTGAGTAATCATCATATTTTCTTTGCCCAACACTTTCTAGCGCCTCCGAACATTATTTTCTGTAAAAATTGTTTATTTGATTTAGTTACCCGTATTTTTGGAACGAGAAAGAGAGAGCGAGAGAGAGAGAAAGATAGAGAGCGAGAGAGAGAGAAGGCGAGAGAAAGCAAGAGAGCGAGAGAGACATACATAGGAAAAACAATACGAAAAATTTAACAACTGAATCGATAATTTGCAACGAATAATACCCGTTTCCTGAATTGGTAAATTGCTATATGGCACCCCTTCGCGTCTCCTTCGATTTCGAATACAGCTTCAATGGAATTGTACATTTGACGGCTCCTGAAAAGTAGATATGGAATGGATGGTAGGCGACTTTTTTGAAAAAATCTTTCTTAAACGGCTGGGGATAATTTAATTGGTTTCACCGTAATCCCAACACGGGATTTCCACACTAATTTTATGGAGCTGACAGCGTGTGGCAAGAATGTAATTTTGTGCAGCAGGATGTGTCTACTACTTTAAAAGCCACCGAATTAACCATGATTATTTTTTGAAACATTGGTGTTAAGAAAACTTTTTGAAAAATCCGTAAAAATGGTACTAATTTGTTAGCGGGGGGAGGGTTAATTTATATTGCTCTGCATCGTTACTATATAATTTTTTATGGTGTCCTTAGTCACTTTTGGATTCTAGAAAATTAAAAAATATCCCAAAAACGTGAGATTTTGAAAGCTCCTGCCGTTTTTCGTGATTCTATATTTTTGACCAAAACACCAAACATTTTCATCAATATTTTAATAGTTTTTATGTGATTTTATATAAAAAACTGTATAAAATTCTATAAAAAATGTTTATTGTTTATTACTGGGCTGTGAAGGATTGCCGGGATAATTTTTTTGGAAAGAAGGAGAGAGTTCATTGTTGGCAAAAATATTGATTTCGACAGAAAGTTTTCGGAAACATTTAATTTTTCGGGCAATGCCGTACATGCTGTTTTCCAACAAATACAGAATATATCTTTTTAAGAAGTTATAAAAAATGCAAGGACTTACCTTAGCCTTTTCAAACGTTGAATCGTCAATCGATGAATTTGAGCGGTAGCCATGAGATGGGCTATCGAGGGACACTCGTCTTTTTTGTCTCGCAAAATCGTTCTAGAAAGGTATCATTAAGAAAATTAATTAAAAACGCCTCTCTACTGTATTTTCCGGAAGCATAGGTTTTCTAGAAAATACGGCTCGTAAAAACGAGGTGAAAAGGTCTTGTTAAGAGTTCAAAAAAAAAATGTTTTGAGAATATGTCAATAGATTCGTGGGTCGCTGTTCATTAATACATTGGCGGCGCAGTTTTTGGGCAATTAGCAGGGAGAAGCTTATTTTATGAATTTTTTAATACTGTTATTAGTAGTTTTTGGTTGCAAAAAGAAACTCCTTTTTAAAAGAGTTCGAGTTGTGACTTTGCTCCTTGTAAATCTAAAAGTTGTTCACTGCTTAAAATGTTTTATTTTTCGCTAATGCGCCTTACGGGATTATTCGAAAAAATTGGTATTTTTCCAGGAAAATAATGTGGTAACGTGACCAGTGAAATTCAGATGTTTCAATAAATTTTAGATGAGGCGTAGAACTGAAGCCCGTAGTACGTAGAACTTCAATCTCTCGTCCTATCAGCATCCCGATATCGTGAGCTAATTCCATAGATTCCTAGTGCTACTATTAAATATGCATACCGGCAATAACCCGCAAAGATTTTGAAGTCGCGTGAATTCGCTTGACGGCAAGCTTCTCGTGTCGTGCAGGGGTGAGGGGCCGCCGGAATCTCTAAAGAATGTTAGAAATCGACGTAGTTCTATAAACATCTATTTGTTTAAATCTTTAATTCATTTTAAGTATATATTTTTCAGCTACACATATTTTTCAATATGTTTTTTTCGGCTTCTTACTGTATTTTTTGGCTCTCTATCGAAGGGAAGTTTCAAAATATCGAAAATATCCAAAATGTCCAAACCATGCTTTTTATGCTATAAAATTTTCATGTAACAGTTTTTCGCGCTGAAAAATCAAAAAATCTCAATGTAATTCTCAGTGAAATTTTGATGTTTTATCGAGTGGCGTCTTCTAGATCTTAAAAATCGAGTTAAAAACCGTAAAAATTATACATTTTGGATTGTCATTGAAATCAAACCTCATCGAATTATCCGTCTCCATGCAGCCAGGTGAAGAGGGGGTTGGCCGAAGAGGCCGATGGAATCTCCTCGATCCAGATGGCAAACCGGCTGGCAGTCGGATTTTTGGCGGCGACCTAAAAATTCGGTGTTTCACAGAAAACTGAACACCGCTCCAGGTCTTACGAAACACTGGGATAAAATGGGGAAACTAAATTTACGAAAGCCAATTTAACAAAAAAATAATCAATTTGAGTGTTCGAGGAATTTTTTTTGCCTAGGTTCGGGAAAAATGTTTTAGCATTCGCTGCCATTCTCACTATCTACAATAAATCATTTCGCACCTATCAGTGGGGACAGCCTACAGAAAAATCTTTGAAAATTTACCGTAATCGCATCAAGGCTGACTGTAATATTGGCTCCTCGTCATCGATCCGCAAAATGCTCAACGTCGATTTGTTGTTGAGCGCCGCCTCGTTGGCCGAAATATCCGTCGTGTAGTCAAAGTAGATATCCTAAAACAGAGAATTGGTCAATTTTACATGTCCCAAAGCTTTAGGCCTGCGGAACTTAAATTTAGAAGAAATTAAATTTAAACTTCGGGCATTTAGGTAGTACTTTTCATAATCTGCAAAATCCCTATTTTATTTCATTACGAAATAACACTAAAAAAATTGATAATAATGCAATCAAAGAAATTTTAAAATCTCACCAATGAAACGGCCCTGCATGGCTTGACCTGCCAGTATATGGTAAATTAATTTGGCCGAAATATCGCTATTTTTGTATTTTCTTGCTGAAAATTTTTAAAATTTCTCCTGCCCCCCCCCCGATAATGCAAAAGAACCCGGCTTTATTAGCGTTTATTTAAATCTAATTCCAAATTTATTTCATTTTCATGAGCTAAGCAGCGAATTCTATTCAAAAAGGATTCGCAACGAGTGCCGTACGATGAAACACACTTTTCCAACACCAATCCTTCAGATGATTTTCATGGGTTTTCCCAGTCCTACCTTATATAATTTTGGCGTGTATCTTTGTGTGTGTGTGTGTGTGTGGATGTCACTTTGGAGGCCCGATTTGAGGGCCTTCCCGTGTCCAAAACGTCCCAATTCTCCGTCACTTGGGGGAATCGATCCTTCTGTTTCGGATCGCGTGTTCAGAATTTCGTTAAAATACAAGTTTACAAAGTTAAAGCCGGTTTTAATCATTTGTGAGGTCCCTGTGGGCTAATTTGCATAATGTGAAAAAATACAAATTTCCTCATTCTTGCAAGTTGCACGCGCGTCTGTGGTCGGACGGTAAGAGGGGGTCCGAAGGACCCGAGCTATCGGGAAGGCAAATTTCTCATGCAAAGGCATGATTCCAGCGCCCAAGGCCCGCGAAGCGGGTTTTGGGCGCTGGTTTTACAATAAAAAATATGCTAATGGCAATAAGCCATCAAATGCTCTGCCGTTGTTATTCTATGCTAGAACATTCAATTCGTGCTGGTAATTTTTAATCAAACAAGTTCTTGCAGGCCTGTACGCCGAGAACGAAAAATAGGTTATTGAACCACTTAGAAACACCTACTTTGTACGGGGTCGTCGAAATTATGGAATCGCACGTGTTCACCGTAGAGATGGAATCTGGAGGGAAAGTTGTTACCCAATTAAGCACTGTTTTGTACTTTAAGAAGCCAGTAATTGATACTCGCTTTCAAACAAATTACGAAAAGAAACCTCGTAGATTCCAATTTTATACCTCTGGATTTCCGGCCGCACAGCCGTCTCATTTTCGGCTCAGGCTCCGTTTGGCACGAGATCGAGACCGTCTTCTTCTTGTCGGATTGCTAGAAGTACCTTGTTTTTTTTGCATTTACATGCATCACTTTAGTTTTTATGAATTCGCTAAAGAAAAAGGCTGAAGCTTATATATTTAGGCTAATAAAAAAACTAAAAAAGTGTTAAATTTTTTACCGTTCTCGCCGGGTCCTCCATCAGCCTCGCCAGCCTATCTGAGGCCACAAATTTTGAAAAGACCACCGATCTGAAAAATAAAAAAATGTGTGTCATTGCCAATATTTGTATAAAATTAAGTTTTCAAGATAACCAGGGTTGAAAAGCCGCTTCGCGACTTTTCAACCCTGGCCCCGTCTTGGACCGCATGCTGTTCCACGCTTTGCATAATTGCGCTGAATTCAGATGACCAAAAAAATGAAAATGAGTCGCTTCTGCCCTTTATATAGGCGATTTCCTACTTCCGGTCAATGCTAATTTTTCCTAGCAAAGAGGGTTTTACAAAAACTTAAATTTAATATCGTAAATGGCCAATTTTTATAAATCTGATATGTGGGCAGTCATCCCTAGACCATTACGCACATAATGACATATCGTACCCACCCCTAACGTCTTCCCCCTATAGAGATACGACTGGAACAACGATACGGAAGCGGATGCAAAGTGACACACACACACAGACACTATTTTTTTATACAGGGTGTCCCAAAAAAAAAGACCCCCCCAAAAATTTGAGCCAGAGGGCACCTACGGAGCTGAAAATTTGCACAGAGGTAGCGAAGCCAATTTTCTATGAACAAGGAAAGTTTCAGCCCAATCGGCCGGCGGGTTTTAAAGTTATAGCGAAAATACTTTTCATTTTTAATTTAATATGGGGATCTTTGCAATTTGCATCAAAGATATGCGTTATTCTTGCATTTACGAGCCGATTTTGCATAAATTTCGTTAAAAAGTGTCATTTTCGTGATGGAGCTTTTGGAAAACGATTGCGTATGAAGAATAAAAAGAGTGTTAAAACAACTTTTTTATCGATCCAAACCACTTGTTATTCTACAGTTTGGCAATCTGAGCTGCGTCGGCCCGGAGATAAAGTTCGACGACCTCCAAAGTAATGCTCAGGCTTGAATTTGGGCTTGGTTTCAAGCGTACGATGAAGTATAAGCTAGGTTAAGGCGCTACACGATACTTACAATCAAGATATCTTATACTCCGTGGTTTTCCTGATTATTTTTCGCTACATGAGCCATCGTTTTCTCCATGCTCCATCAAGAAAATGGCCCTTTTTGGCGAAATTTATGCAAATCAGGTCGTAAATGCAAGAATAACGCATATCTTTGATGCAAATTGCAAAGATCCCCATATTAAATTAAAAATGAAAAGTATTTTCGCTATAACTTTAAAACCCGCTGGCCGATTGGGCTGAAACTTTCCTTGTTCATAGAAAATTGGCTTCGCTACCTCTGTGCAAATTTTCAGCTCCGTAGGTGCCCTCTGGCTCAAATTTTTGGGGGGGGTCTTTTTTTTTGGGACACCCTGTATATAGTAGGATTTGAGTGGTAACGGCATCAAAAATTTAAATTTCAAGATCTACCTAAAATCACCGCGGTGTGGGCGGATCTTCTCCAATGTTTGTATGGTCCTCAGCATCGGCCGTTTTGCATGTTTTTGCACCCGGCGTGGCGAGTGGAACAATTGGCCGGTGGCGCTGCCCTTGCGTGATGCTAAAAAATGTTTCAATTTTTTAGGGATCGTCTCAGTTTTTGCCTGTACTATAGCCATCCGCGGTATTTCCATTTTCCGACAATTCTGAAACATTATTTCACTGAATTTTCTGAAAAAAAGAAAGGTAACGAAAAATTCGGGAATATTTGTAAATACTATTAATTATCAATAATAATTTGTAAAAAGCCTAACAAGATACCTTGGAGGCGCAAGGTATGGAAAATCACGATTTCGAAATTTTCTAGTATCGAAACTTCGGACTGTCTAAATTTAAAATTAATTAAAATTACTTTAAAAATCGCCCGGAAAAGCGCCAAAACTTCGACACATTGGTCTCAACATTTTTTTATGTTTCCTTTCATGATTTTTTATTTTGACAATTTAGGCATATTTCGACATTATTTTCATGACTTTACCATTTTTTTGTCAATTTCAAAAAATCTGTTTCGGGTCCAGCTACCGGAAAATGTTCATGAAAGGAATTGATGCTTGATAGACTTCCAATTTTTAATTTTCTGGTATTTTTTCGTTTGGACTGCTAAAACTGACTCGCTGTACTGCCCGTTTTCTCAACGTCTTCTGCCATGCCGTCATCAGGTTGTCCTTTGTAGTCAGCGGCTTCTTCTTCTTCCGCTTCTTCCTTATGCCTTTCCGAATCACTATCCTCATCCCCCAACCTCGACGCTATCAGGTTTTCCGCAAATTTCTCCGCAACGAAGCCTAAAAATTATTTTTGCATCGTTGCAGAACTGTGATTAACGCAAAAAGCTTCATTAGCTTTACATAGTTTTATGAAACATGAAATTTTTACTATTTTAAATTGTTGCTCTGAATTATTTCTTTAGGTTTTTACAATGTTTTTTCCGCAAATTTTTCTGCAACGAAGTCTAAGCTACCCCCCACAATCAGGACTTATAGCTCATAAAGTTTTTTACTGTTCTGTTAAATTTCGCGAAACACGAAATTTTCAATTATTCATTTTTGAATTTCTAAAAATGTAAATTATTAAGGAGTTTAATAATAATTGACTAATATTTGCGAATCGGTGTGCTCTAATCAAAGACTATTTTCCGTAGTCCTGCACGGAACTTTGTTCCAAAAAAATTTTTCTTGCTCTTTAAAATTTTGTGAAACGCGAAATTCTAAAACTTTTCTTAAAGAGTCCTCAGATTTAATTTAAGTTTAGCGGATTAATGAGGCAACGGTACGACTTATGAATCAAAAATTATTACAAGCGAGATATACTTATTTTGAAACACTCACTTTTCACTTCGCTGAACAGCCCCTGCGGCTCGGCGACTTTCCGGAACGGGACCTGCAGCAGATTTCCTGCAATTTAAACGCGATTTTCATTTACTTTAATTTAATCGATGTGTGAATGAATAAAACATAAAAATGAACCTGATTTTTCCTGAAACATTTTTAGAAACTTGGTATTTCTTGCGAAAGTATCTATCGTTTTGCGAAGGGCAAAGGAGTATCGTAATTACCGTAAAAATTCTCCAAATTTTCGATTCGACCAAATTCTCTCACCGATTGTATTGTGAATTTATCGGCATCAACACTGCGTAATTGTTAGTGCATAAAAAAAATTGTCATTCTTAATTTTTGTTGAAACATTTTTTAATATATTTGGCTTCGGTCTTGCGTAATAGGTATTAGGCATAGATATCGTGAGGCGTATTGCAGTTATAACACTCTATTAATTAAGCCAAATACAAACACGATTACCAGTGGTCATCTTGAATTCGAAGGGCATTGCGTGCTCGGTGGCCGGATCATCCTGATGCACAATGTCGGCCATTTTTTCAATTTCTTCAATGTATTCGTCGATGAGGCGGTCCAAAAATCGCTCTACCGTCAACTAAAAATGACTTACATTATCGAAAAATCGCATTAGAAATCAACTTAGCCGCGTCGTAAAATTTTAATTGTCAGGCGGTACATGGATATAATAAGTGTTTTTTCATATGTTATTTCAATATTCTGATCCGCGTCCATTACTACAAAAACGCTTCGAAAATTCAAAAATTCAAAATACAGCTGAACCAAATTATAAAATTCGCTATTGAATGTTTCAAGACCAAAACTATTTCAATTTAATCACAAAACACCAATTCATGGTAGTGTTTCGTGCAAATTCATAATTCTAACAGAAAAATTATAAAACATTGTAAATTAGAAAAAACAGTCATTCTAAACCAAAACAAAATTAACTAAACCAAAAATCGCTCAAACCTGTATGAGATTGAAACACATTGACAACAGCGCCAGCCCAACGAGAATCAAAATAAAATTGAAGATCATCATGTCGGGTTTCGAGGGGTAGATATCACCCAGGCCGACCGTGCTGAAAAAATGTTTCTTGAAATTCTATATAGCGCAATTTTTTGATGCGTTCAATAGGTCATGGAGAATACGGACAGAAAATTATTCTTTGTTAATGTAAATTAAAAATTACACTTTTTTTCCGGGTATGTTTCTGGATTTTCTCGTACGAATCTCGAAATAAAGGCATTTTTTAACGCAACTTTCTTTTCTCATTGGCATACAATTTTTGAAATTGAAATAGGGGAAGAGTTTCTAAATTAATTTTTCCTTTTCCTAAGCGTCAATTCTTAACAAATTCATAATTGAAAAGCGCAAAAATATCGATTTTCCATGAATAAACCTTGTTTTTTAGCTAAATTCTGGAATTGCAGTTATTTTTGAAAGTTTTTATATAGTTTTTCACACTTGGAATATTGTCATTGATGTGAAAGCACGATAAAAATACTTACTGTTAGGTTGCTAATCATTTCTCGAGTTTGATGAAAAATTCGTAAAAGAAAAATGGTTCGGCCCCAAAAGAGGGTTATCTGGGCCCGGATCAGACAATTTTATTCATAATGTATCAAAAATATACATTTAAAACCTCTGGTCGTTTCTTTTACTTACCTGATCGATACAAAGAAAAAGTAGACGCTGGTGAGGTAGCCCCACTCCGTCTCCCAGATGCAAAACAGGGCCGCGCTATAAAAAAAATGTCGTTTTGGTTTCGTTTAATCTTGGTAAAATTATTTTTTATTTAGGGCTTCGGTAATTGCGATGCTAATATGGAAGCATTAATAACGATAAAAAGGAGAAAATATATTAATTATACCTAAACAAAATCCACATCGACAGAATGGCCAGCGCTATTGGAATCGGGAAGCTCATTTCCGCACGTTGATTTAGTCTATTTTGTTTGACCGGGTCGAGCTCGGCTTTCTGAAAAATGTTGAAACTCAGATTTTTATATTTTTTTTCTATAAAATTCAGGTTATAAAATATATTATTATAAAATTCAGGATCGAGGAGGCGTAATTCTTCACCTCGAAGTCACAAAAGTTCCTCGTAACTACCTAGTAAATTTTTAATAAAGTTTTTAATAAAATTTAACTAAATTACGCACCGCAAAGTCATCTTGATTCCTGAAAATGTGCTCGAAAATTGGTCATCTTTGGTCGAAACATGTAAAATTTTGTATCTTTAATCCAACGTATTTTGTAAAGGTAAAACTATTTTCGATTCGTTTTGTTTTATAAGTTGTGCACTCTTACATAGGTATAATTTCGTAATTTACCTCCTTTTTTGAACGTCCATTTAGCGCAAGTATCCGCTGCTCTTTCCCCTCCTTTGCCAACGCTTCACTTTCCGTTCCGGCGTCGATTTTCAGCGTTTGCTAAAATCAGAAAATTCCGGGATTTTGATGCCATCGATTAACCGTATTTTAAATCAATTTATTAATTTGCTCTGTCGAAACATTTGACTTTAAAAGAATCGGCCGAAAAGTTTTCATTTACGGTAAAACGCGCGTAATGAATTTTAATCCTCATTATGTTTTATTCATAGGTAGCCGTTATAAACTAGAAAAATAAACATGACCTGCCTCGCCAAGCCCCCCCCCCTTAACAGCCCAGTACCACAGCTTTTTAAAATTTAGGCTAAAATTTTACGAATTTCGGAGTTTTTTAAAAGCCTGGTAATTTCCGGAGATTTTCTAGAGCCAGTAAGAATAAATTAAGCGATACAATATTTTTGTTGAAGTCAGCTTTTCCCGTCCTCATTAAAAAACGATACCTTGGACGACTGTGAGAACCTGCGTATCTGCTCCGTCGTCTCGGCAATCCGCGAGTTTTTCAGGCGCTTGTAGAATTTGCGGAGGCCCCTCGACATCAACCGCCCAACGTCTTTTAGGATTATCAGGAAAATTGGGATCCCTAAAAATCACTTAATGATTTTTTGAAGTTTTAGGCTGCGTGAATTGAACATTCTAATTAAATTTATATGTTTCTGCTAAGATGTAACCACTTTTATCAATGATTTCCACAATTTGTCATCAAATTCAGATAAATTGAAAATGTCCAAGATTCAAAAATCGTGCCAAACTGCGGTTTTCACGGATTTGAGCAACGGCGACTAAATGTTTCAAAAAAAAATCCACAGACGCCTAATTTACCAAGTTCTTAATTTCTGTAGTTTCTCCGGATTTTCGATTATTTACATTACCAAAGTTCACCTTAAATAATAGAAATCCACTCACCAATCATAATGTAGAAAATGCTGACGACTTGCCCGGGCACTGTCTTCACAATCGGAAACCCGTAGCCTAAATCGGACACTTTAATTGATCCCGTTTTCAGGACAAAAATGTTAGAGAAACAACACATCGTGTGTCCATTGAAACTAAAAACAGTTTTGCATTTTTAAGCTATTGACGAAACATCCTTTTTCAAAAGTCCTGAAAATGAATGAATTGTTTTCCAATGCATATTAAATTGTTTCAATTCTTCGATTAAGTTAATTGTTTTTATATTAAATTTATTTTTTTAATTCAATTTTAGTTTCCCCACCAATAGTCGTGTAAAGTTGGCCGGCGTAGAACATACTGCCCCACCACGTCCACGGTGACGCGTCCGATCGTTCCTCGATTACCTGGAAACGGATTGGCAATTTAAATCTCGGGAATTTTTACTGAAATATAATGTTATAATTTTCGGACTTAATAACATGATTTTATTCATTCCCAGGCCTCAGGAAACCATGAAACAATGATACTAAACAAAACATCGTCAAAGAAGTTAAAAAATGAAAGTTTCATAAAACCGAGTTTCTAGAACCATGTGTAATTGCTTTATTCGGAGGAAAACTTGCTTCAAAATCCAAACCAATAATGGAGCTCAATAGCAGTTTCTTGGAAGAACTATATGACAAAATTCATCTAAAAATTTTACCGATTTCTGAATGAGCTATGGATTTTATGCGCCATCAATTCTCTGTGGATTTTACACCGCCCGCAACACGCAACGCGAACGATAGTTTCATTGCGTAATCGATTACGACCGGTTAAAAAAAGTTAAATTCATCCTCTTCTTAAATATTCTGAATCTTTTATAATGATAATATTCTTAATTTGCAAAACAAACCGCCGTTAAATTGAGATGATCGAGGAACCAGAAAAGGGCATCCTGGGCATGTCGGATCTGTTCGACACGATTCAGCTCTTTCAGAAGCCCATCGTGGCACCGTACCTCCAGCATACGGTCGAGCACCTAAAATTAGAAGTATCAAAAATAAACATTTTCAAGGTATCGATCAGTTATTAAATATCGCAAATTCGCGACAGCGCCCGGTTTTTTTGAAACATCAATTAGATCCAAGACTCAATACAGGGTGTCCCAAAAAAAAAGACCCCCCCCCAAAATTTGAGCCAGAGGGCACCTACGGAGCTGAAAATTTGCACAGAGGTAGCGAAGCCAATTTTCTATGAACAAGGAAAGTTTCAGTCCGATCGGCCAGCGGGTTTTAAAGTTATAGCGAAAATACTTTTGATTTTTATTTTAATACCAGGGTTGAAAAGCCGCTTCGCGACTTTTCAACCCTGGCCCCGTCTCGGACCCCATAATTCTGCCCTTTGCATAATTGTCCTCCATTCAGAAGACAAAAAAAAATGAAAACAACCCTTTCTGCCTCTTTATATAGTCGACCACCCACTTCCGGTCTATGCTAATTATCCCTAACAAATAGGTTTTTACAAAAATCTAGATTTAATAGCCAAAATGGCTAATTTTTAAAAATCTGATATGTGTGCAGTCATCCCTAGACCATTGCGCACCTAATGACGTATCATACGTAGCCTAATACCCGTCCCTTCTTGAGATATCTTCCGGACAGACAGACGGAAGTGGATGCAAAGTGGCACACACACACAGACACACACACACACAGACACTATTTTTTTATATATAGTAGGATGGGGGATTGCTGCAATTTGCATCAAAAATATGCGTTATTTTGGCATTTACGAGCCGATTTTGCATAAATTTCGCCGAAAAATGCCATTTGCTTCTTTGGGCTGTAGAAAAACGATTGCTCGTGGAGAGAAAAAATGGTTCGCAAGACCGCGGAACACAAGACGCATTGACTGAAACTATCGTTGGACGCTAGCACCCAGCTTAGACTTCGTCGTAAGCGTCAACCCAAGTCAAAAACTGAACCTAAGCAGTACTTAGGGGCTCATCAAACTCTGTTTCGGGACCGACGGGGTCATATTGGCAAAATGTCCCATAAAATATGATTTGGAACCTAGAAGCAATCGTTTTCACACTCTTTTTGCTCTTCAGACTCGATCGTTCTCACCGAGATCCAGTGAGCAAATGGCGTTTCTCGGCGAAATTTATGCAAAATCGGCTCGTAAATGCCAAAATAACGCATATTTTTGATGCAAATTGCAGCAATCCCCATATTAAAATAAAAATCAAAAGTATTTTCGTTATAACTTTAAAACCCGCTGGTCGATCGGGCTGAAACTTTCCTTGTTCATAGAAAATTGGCTTCGCTACCTCTGTGCAAATTTTCAGCTCCGTAGGTGCCCTCTGGCTCAAATTTTTGGGGGGTCTTTTTTTTTGGGACACCCTGTATATCAAAAGCTTATAATAAGTTCGCTCAAAGGTAAACCTGGGACTTCAAACTCGCCTTTTTTAAACCTTAAAGAGATGAGGACGGCATCTGTTGAACCCCCCTTGGGGAGGGGGGGGTTCAACAGGTCCCAGCGCGACCGGCGGCGAGAGAGGGCGCCCAGGGGAGAGGCGCAGAGACATTTTCTTTCCCGCGCGTAATCGATTGACTTATGCCGCCCCTATCTCTTTAAGGTGCATAGACAATTTTAAAGCCTTAGAAAAACAGAGGACAGAAATCACTTCCATGTAAAATTTTAAATCACAAAAATGTAAAAAATGACGTTTCAGAAAATGAAGGCACGGCTGGCAACAACATCAGAACAATTTCGGAACGTCCGCTGCTTCAAAAATCATAAAAATATCAAAATCATTTTTGTAAATTTCTAGCACTCGAAAACTACGAAAAAACTATAAAACTACATTATATATTAACATCGGCTAAAAATCCTTCCTTCCTCCAAACGACCAACCCAGTCAGTAGTTTTATTTCTACTATCGAGAAAAATGTAGCTTTCTTTAGAAAAGAAATTAAATTTTAAGATGTTCGAAAAATGTTTCAAAAAAATAATACCCATATCAAAAAAATCCAGGTATATCGGTAAAAGTAATTTTAAATTTTGGCGCTGGAGACTATTTGAATTTGTTCAATCAATTTCTTTTTATTTTATTTAATTTATGAGTCGTCGATCTTCCCGATTAATCCACCTGATTAACGGCATATTCGGATTCATTCCGGTAGAAATTGCGCCGCCTCTGGTCCTCGTCGTGCTCCAGCGCCTTGAAGATGATGGCGCCTGAATAAAAATTTTATATGCCTTTGAAAAATAAAAAAATATGTTGGTGACTATTCATATATTGATTGTGCATTGGTCATTTTTATTTGATATGCAGTAAGAATGTTATTTAATCAAACAAATCTTCAGAAACGCTGCTTGTAAAAAATGTGTTTCAGCTTCAACTATTTAATATGACAGCTCGCGGTACATAATAATCCAGTGAAGATCAGTAGTCGAAAATATCCAGATCTAATCAACTTAAAATAAGTGTCCCACTCTCCAGTTTAAACCGTGAATTCACCCATTTTTTGATGGTCTTAAAGTTTTAGGTTGAGCTTTTTAATATAAATAAGCATCTTTAATAATAATATACGGAAAAAGCCCCCCCCCCCGATAATGCGAAAGCTCCGTTGTTACGATTGTTTTTAGCTACGGATTTGTTAGGGTTTTTCCGCAACGCGACACGCAACGCCGCGGGAGTTAATTCATTACGCAATGGAAATGCGGTGGGCGCGTTACGGGTCGCGGCCATAGAGATGCGCCAATGCATATAACATCAATTTAAATTACCGGACATTATGAACTTAACTGATTATTAACTTACCATAAGTTTTTTAGTTAAAAACATCTGAAACCCACCCAATAATGTATAGGAAATGAGGATGAGCAGCGGCGCGAAGTAGCCCATTTTAAAGGTGTTGTAGAGCCATTTCAGGCCGCGATACAATCGCGACGCCATTTAGCTAAACGCCGGCTTTAAAAAGGAATATATTTTTAAAGTCGAAAAATTTGAAGCTGTAAAATCGAATCGAATGGTTCATCATTAAAAATGAAAAATTTTCCAGAAAGAACTATTGCGATGAAACATATAAAAAATTCGAAGACTTTCTTTAAAGATCTCAAAACATCCGTGCTACACCCTGAACGGACCTAAATTGCCCTTATTCCGCGGTTCCCACGTCTCGGTGGTCATTTTTGGCACCCGAGCAGCCTAATTAGAATCTTTCCTCGCTCTCACCCTCTTTTCCAAATTGGGCCCACCAAAAAAGGAGAGATTTTACTTATCCAAAGCTGGGAACGCCGAGGTCGCAACGCTAGTGATTTTTGGTAAAGGGCTTTCAACACAATGTGAAGAAACATTGTATAGTTTTTGGAAATTTTTGCCCTTAAAGAGATGAGGACGGCATCTGTTGAACTCCCCTTGGGGAGGGGGGTTCAACAGATGCAGCGGCGAGAGAGGGCGCCCAGGGGAGAGGCGCAGAGACATTTTCTTTCCCGCGCGTGATCGATTGACTTATGCCGCCCCTATCCCTTTAAGCTATGACTGGGTTGGGCCGCTAATTTATGAACAAAAATTTGGTTTTAAAATTTTGATCGAAAAATCTATTGTTTTGGTGATTTTTCTTAAAAATTGGTAGTTTTATCGCTTAGGAATAGTAAAAACCGTTGATAAACAATTTTTACTAGCAAAGTTGGAGACAAGAAAAAAGTTGGTGGTAAACTATCCGAATCCTACACTAGCATAATTCAAAAAGAAACCATATGTCAGGTGGAGCTCACTAGCGCTCCAAAGCAAGCAACATTCAGTAGCTTTGACGAAACACGTAAATTATTTTTGAAATCGATTTTTTTTGTTTGTTCTTTGCTCTCATTTAATAAATGTTTAACCAAAGGATCAAAATTGAATCAGGAAATCATGGCCAAATAAGTCACAGTTAAGAAACATCGAAATTTATGTGTGCATTTGACATTTAAGCAAGTTATCTTTTTTCAATTGCAGTCATAATTTCCGCAGCCAAAATACCGACAGGCCAAAGCCGAAAATCTCGACAGCCAAATGCCGACAGCGATAATCAGGAACCAAAAATCCCGACAGCGATGATTCTGACGACAAAAACGCCGTCTTCGAAAACGCCGACAGTCATAATCTCGACAAGCCACAATCCCGACGGCGCAAATCACGAAACCCTAAAATCCCGACAGCCGAACACTCGGCATTAAAAATGCCGACATAGTTTGATACCCAATGACCTTCCTATTTACTGCACTACTAATAGCGGATTTAGCTTTATTACCACGAGCCGAGGCGATTTCTGCCTCAGCCAAATTCGAAACATTTGTTTTGAACCGAACAAAAATCCAGATTTTTAAAAATTAGTAGTGAATTTTAGTGAAGAATAATATCATACATTTGAGAAATAATTCTAGAAAACAAAAGCCAACTGGTTTTTTAGCTGTAAAGTGTCAATTTACCCTGGTGGGTGAAAATGAAATTTGAGCCCCTGCCGTTCGCCCTCACCAAAATAACCCGGGGGCCCCCGAAAAAAAATTCATGGGCACGCGATTTGGGTAACAGAGACAAGTGGGGCTGCTGTCGCTGTTAAAAAGATGACTCTAAAACCAAAGTGGAGGCCGACTTAAAGGGAGCATGACTAAATCGGCATAAATAGGCATAAAAACCCCCATAATTGGTGGGCACTGGTCTGTTAGCGGGGGGGGGGGGGTTCACAGTAATCCCTTACGGTATTTAGATCGTTGTACGAGCATAAAAACTTAATAAAAACATTTTCGACAATTTCTAGCATATTTTTTATAACTCACGAGAAATAAAAACTCCTAAAAAACAGTGGATATTAAAAACCACAACTAAAAGGAAGATGTAGCTTAAATATACAAAAAAAAAATAGAATTTTTATTAAAAAAAATTGTGTTTCTACAAAAAATCATCCTCACAGCCGCGAATTTCGCTTATTAATGGTTATTGAGCCTTGAATTCCGGGGTTGAAAATTAAACCAGGGTTGAAAAGCCGCTACGCGACTTTTCAACCCTGGCCCCGTCTGAGCCCATGTTATTCTTCACTTTGCATAATTCGCCCGGGCTGCGATGAAAAATAATGGAAAACGCTCCCCCTGCCCCTTTATATAGACCCCCACCACTTCCGGCGTATGCAAATTGTTTCCTAACAAAGAGGTGGCCCGAAAATTTCACTAAAATCTAAATTTAATGTCGAAAATAGCATAATTTGCAAAATTTGTCATGCGTGCAGTCATCCCAGAGCCATTACGCACCTAATGACGTATCATACGCCCCTTAAAACCCCTGCCCTCTTGAGATATGCTCCGTACACGCTGACGGAAGTTGCATGCAAAGTGGCACACACACACACAGACAGACACTATTTTTTTATATATAGTAGGATAATAAAATATAATTTACAATCAGGGGCGTAGCCAGAAAAAAATTTCGGGGGGCCCCTAACAATTTTGTCCAAAAAATTCAAAACATTAACGAGAAAACAGCGCCGCAGACAAAAAAAATTTGAAACAAGGCTACATAGCTCTACAAATAGCCGTAAAAACGTGAAAAAATAGCGCCGCAGGCAGCAAAATTTTTGAGAAAATAAAAATCATAAGGGTCCCCCCTTATGAAATTTTCGGGCCCCGGCCGATTTCGGGGGCGGGCCCCGGGGCCGGTATTACGCTACGCCCCTGTTTACAATTAAGCTAAATTTTTCCAAAAAGTGATTCAATAAAATTAAAAAAAACATGTTTCACTCTAAATTCTTGTCTTTTAGCGGTTAAGATGGGTATTGTGCGAAGGTTGGCTGTTTGGTACCGAATTTCCAACATTCCGCCAAATTTTTGTGGGAAAAATTGTATAATTTTCCCGGGAATGATATTTTGAGTTTTCCTAACAAATTATAAGAATCGCACGGTGCTACGGTAACTAGAGTAACGGGCACTCTGATGTGAAAAGTGGTCTCTACGAACTTACACATGTTATTTAAGAGATCCAGCAAAAGTTGGGCGCTAAAAGATGCTAAGCTCGATCAAATATTATAATTAATCAATGAAAATTATAATTACCAACCTAGAAAAATTATAATAGTTTCGTAGCTGAAAATTTTTATGTTTCATCAAAAATGGACCTTTGGCATTTTTTTGCAAAACCATTAACAATGACTTATTCACAAATACAAATAAAATAAGATGAAAAAACAGCAAAAGGTGCTTCATGTTTAACCGTCCCACTTCAGCAAATCCAATTTTTACTTTTTTTATATTATACAATTTTTATTTACATTATACAATTTTTATGTTTCATTAAAAAAGAACCTTTGACGTTTTTCTGAGCAACTATTAACTTTGACTACATCAATCACAGCCAAAACAAAACCTTGCATAAAATAGCAAAAAGTGTTCCATCTTTAGCCGTCCCACTCCTGCGATTCGGATTTTTACTGGGCGAACGGAACGGAACGAAAATAAGATTGGACCCCCAGATTTCGGCACATCTCCCCCCCGGGCCGGAATAGCAAATTTCCGGATGACGCCCCGGACGGCCAAAAGGGCACTCATATCTTGGCTATAAAGTTGCGAATTTAAAGGGATACCCAATGTTTTTGCGGCAAATATATAGTTATGTATTCCGGAGAGTACAAATGACGCGCGAATTTTGTGCGGTAATGGGTGCCCAGTGCCGCACAGAATTCGGACCCCTTTCCCTCTTGTGGCGTCCCCATCCCAAGCAATGGCTTGCCACTATGGGCTAATGGATAGCATTCAGGTCTTCAAATCGAGGGTCCGGGGTTCGACCCCCGCCCGCGTCGTGGTTTTTGCTTTTTGAGCCTCGGAAAGGTTGGGTATCCCTTTAAAGGGATGATGAAATTTAACTTACCCGGCGGAGGATTATAGTTTTACGGTCAGCTATCACTCATTGCTGAGATGAAACATGATTTTCTTGGCTAGCAATTTTCGGTTACCCCTGGATTCCAAAATCAGCAAAGCTAGTTCACAGGGAATCACAGGGAAAGCTAGCTCTACTAGCTTTCCCTGTGAACCCGGATTCCTCAAGGATCTCCGCTAACCCGCCCTGGCGCGAAATTAATATTTCGAAGTCTGCACAGCCACGTCAAACATGATACAAATGGATTTTTTCATCTTTTCATAGATTAGAATCCCGAAAATATTTTTGTCGGATGGCATATCGCCGAAAAAGGCTTTTTAGTAATTAAAAAATTTTATTTATTAATCTCAACGTATAGAAAATCGAAGTTTCAGCGTATTGACATTTCTACAAAGTCAAATTTTGAGCAATGACTTTCGGAAAGAAGCGAAATGAGATTTCGACAAATTTAAATTTCGGCAAAGTCAAATTTCTATCAAAAAAATATAAAAATTTTGCTACGGATTGCGAATCAAAATTAAAATTTAAGCAAAGAGGTGACAATCTCTTAAATTCGGTCTAATTAGTTTTCGATTCTACAAAGGAACGGATTGCCTAAATTTAAACCTAGCGGCTGTAGAATTTTGGCGAAACATGTTTTTCGCTTTTTCCAGTTCTTTTTTACGCAACACGAATTCGTGACAATAATCCGAGACGGATCGGCCCCTGGGGAACGACAGATATTCGGGACGGCAAATGCTTGTCACCCCCGGGGTCAAAGTCAAGAAGACAACATCGAGAGGAATTGCCACGACAACGAATCGCGTAAATAGAAACAAAGATGAAACATCCTTACCAAAACATTTTGCTTTTTCATAGGGAAAAGGTTTAGATCATCAAACAAATTCTGAAAGTTTTTTGAAAAGCATGTTTCACATCAACTATTTAACAAGAAAACTGTCGGCATTATGATACATTTCAATGACAAATCAGCTCAATTTTGCGCCGAAAAAGGGGTAAGGTAGTCCAGTAAATTGTGACGGTTTCAGGAAAACGCATGTTTCAGATCAACT